TGGAAAGTCAGATTCTGGTACTTACTTTGTTTTTCATCAGGTTAGCAGGTTAGATGAACCACAAAGTGAGGAAGCCAACTTGAAATCAAGACCTGTTGTTTTTCATCAGGTTAGCAGGTTAGATGAACCACAAAATGAGGAAGCCAACTTGAAATCAAGACCTGAAACAGGATTCATCCCCTGGGCTTGAAGTATGTCATGCTGGGCACAAAGATGCCCATGAAGAATGGCCCAGGAAAAGCACAGGCACTACTGTGTTCTTTCTGCTGCTGTGTTTTATTCCTGCCTTTCTTTATGTTGGTGTTCTACTTTAAGATCACAGAGAAACCGGAACCTATCGCGCTGCAAGTTATGGTAAGAGGGATTGTTAGCAGGACAGAAACTTGGGCCCCAGGGGCTAACCAGGAATCGATTCCCATAACTGAATTCCATATCAGAGTGATATCAACAGCCTTTAGAATTGTCATATCTAGACTGGGTGTAGTGGCTCACCCCTGTAATCCCAGCACTTTAGGAGGCCGAGGTGGGCAGATCACCTTAGGTCAGGAGTTCAAGACCAGCCTGGCCAACATAGCAAAACCCCATCTCTACTAAAAAATACAAAAACTTAGCTGGCTGTGGTGGCGGATGCTTGTAATCCCAGCTCCTGGGAAGGTGAGGCAGGAGAACTGCTTGAACCCAGAGCTGAAGGTTGCAGTGAACCGAGATCGTGGCATTGCACTCCAGCCTGCCGGACAGCGAGATGCTGTCTCGAAAAAAAAAAAAAAAAAAAAAAAAAAGAAGGAGGAGGAAAGAAAAGAATTGTTACAGCTAAATCAATGCAGCCCTTCCTTTCTAAGGTAGGACTGATCCTAAAGACAGGTAGGCCATTTTCTCCCCACTGGGGATGGGTAGCAAAGCTATATGGGAAGGATGGATTCCCACTAGGAGACAAGACAAGATCTGATAGGTTTTTTTACGTCTTGCAGAAATGAAGACCTGGAATCTCCAAGTTTACTCACTTCTGATTTTCCTTTGACTATTCTAAGATCCAGAGCAGAGATCTGCTAACAAGCAGAGCTACGTAAAGTATAGGTTTTCTGTACCTTAATTTTAATGAGGGATGCTTAAAGTAGGTTTAATTGCCCCAAACTTAATTGCACTGTATGTATGAGAACCTCTGGGAGATACAGGTGTATGTTATAATGCTTCACAGATATGGGATGGGGGTGGGGGTTGTTGTTACTGTTTTTCCTTTTTTTCAGGGACAGGGTCTCATCATGTCCTCCAGGCTGGAGTACAGGGGTGTGATCATAGCTCACTGCAGCCTCCAACTCCTGGGCTCAAGCAATACTCATGTCTCAGCCTTGCGAGCAGTTGAAATACAGGGGCAAGCCACCGCACCCAGCAGATATTGTATTTTCCTTTTACAAATTGAAGGTTTGTAGCAACCCCGCTTTGAGAAAGCCTATTGGTGACATCTTTCCAAAAGCATGTGCTCACTTTGTATATCTGTGTCACACTGTGGTAACTCTTGCAATATTTTAATCTTTTACATTATTCTAATACATCTAGTGCTCGACTTACAACCACAGTCGGGACCGCGGACCGGTTGTAACATGATTTGGTCGTAAGTTGAGTAGGCTATGTGTACAGTTGAAATGGTGCACGTGGAGATGGTAGTGCTGCCAGAAGCTGGTCCGCACTGTCGTACGCCCAGCTGGGCAACGTTTGCACTGCCAGACGCGGAGCAGTCGTGGCTAGCGACTGTGGTCCTAAAGTCGAATGGTCGTAAGTTGCATAGGTGGTATGTCGATCAATACCTGTATGTGTTATGGTGATCTGTGATCTATGATCGTTGATGCTGCTATTGTGTTTTTTTTTGGGGGGGTGCCACAAATCGCATCCATATAAGATGGCAAATTTAATCAACAAATGTGTGGTTCTGTGTGTTCTGAACGCTCCACCAACCAGCCACGTGGCCATGTCTCTCCTTCCCTTGTGCCTCCGTATTTCCTGAGACACAATGATACTGAAGTTAGGCAATTAAAAACCCTGCAATGGCTTCTAAGTGATCAAGTAAAGCAAAGAGTTGCACATCTCTCACTTTATATCAAAAGCTAGAAATGATTGAGCTTACTGGGGAAGGCACGTCTAAAGCCAAGATGGGCTAAAGGCCCTTTAGCACCAAACAGTTAACCAAGTTGTGAATGCAAAGGAAAAGTAATGGAAAAATAATATTAAAAATGCTACTCCAGTGAACACACAAATGATAAGAACACAAAACAGCTTTATAGCTGCTACGTAGAAAGTTTGAGTGGTCTGGAGAGAAGATCAAACCAACCACAACATTCCCTTATGTCAAAGCCTAATTCAGAGCAAAACTTCAACTCTCTTTAATTCTATGAAGGCTGAGAGAGAGAAGGAAGTTGAAGAAGAAGAGTTTGAAGCTAGCAGAGGTTCGTTCATAACGTTTAAGGAAAGATGCCATCTCTATAACATAAAACTATAACGTAAAGCAGCAAGTGCTGATGGAGAATCTGCAGCAAGTTATCCAGAAGATCTAGCTAAAATCATTGATGAAGGTGGCTACGCTGAACAGCAGATTTTCAGTGTATATGAAACAGCCCTGTGCTGGAAAAGGATGCCATCTAGGACATTCACAGCTGGAGAGGAGAAGTCAATACTGGCTTCAAAGCTTCAAAGGACAGGCTGACTATCAGGGGCGAATGCAGTTGGTGACATTGAACTTCAAGCTAGTGCTTATTTACCATTCCAAAAATCCTAGGCCCCTTAAGAATTGTGCTAAGTCTACTCTATCTCTGCTCTATAAATGGAACAACAAAGCCTAGATGACAGCATACTGGTTTACAACATTGTTTACTGAATATTTTAAGCCCAATGTTGAGATCTTCCATTTGGAAAAAAAAAAAAATGCCTTTCAAATATTACTACTCATTGACAATGCACCTGGTTACCCAGGAGCTCTGATGGAGATATACAGGAGATGAACAATGTTCCCTTGCCTGCTAACACAGCATTCATCCTGCTGCCCATGTATCAAGGAGTCATTTTGACTTTCAAATCTTATTATTTAAGAAATACATCTTGTAAGGCTATAGTTGCCAAAGACGATGATTCTTCTGATGGATCTAGGCAACGTATATTAAAAACCTTCTGGGAAGGATTCACCATTCTAGATAACATTAAGAGCATCCATGACTGGGCACAGTGGCTCACCCCTGTAATCCCAGCACTTTGGGAGGCTAAGGTAGGAGGATTACCTGAGCCCAGGAGTTGGAGACCAAGACCAGCCTGAACAACATGGCTAAACCGCGTCTTTGAGAGAGAGAGGAAAAAAAAAAAAAAAAAAAAACTAACTGGGTATGGTGGTATGTTCCTGTAGTCCAAACTACTTGGAAGGTTGAGGTGGGAGGATTGATTGAGCCCAGGAAGTCAAGGCTACAGTGACCCATAATCATGCAGCTGTATTCCAACCTAGGCAACAGAGTGAAACCCTGAGTCCAAAAAACAAAAAAAAAAAAAACATGATCAATGGAAGGAAGTCAAAATATCAACATTAACAGGAGTTTGGAAGAGGTTGACTCCAACCCCAATGGATGACTTTAAGGGGTTCTAGGCTTCGGTGGAGGAAAGAACCACAGATGTAGTAGAAATAGCAAGAGAACTAGAATTAGAAGTGGAGTCTGAAGATGTGACAATTGCTGTAATCTCACAATAAAACTTGAATGCATGCGAAGCTGCTTCTTATGGGTGAGCAAAGAAAGCAGTCTCTGGAGATAAAATCTTTTCCTGATGAAGATGCTATGAACATTGCTGAATGAAGAAAAAGGATTTAAAACATTACACAAACTTAGTGGATGAAGCAGCGGCAGGGTTTGACAGGACTGACTCCAATTTTGAAAGAAGTTCTATGTGCGTAAAATGTCATCAAACAGCATCGCAAGCTACAGAGAAATCTTTCATTTGTGGTAAACTTCACTGTTGTCTTATTTTAAGAAATTGCCACAGCCATCTCAGCCTTCAGCAACCACCAACCTAACCAGTCAGCAGTCATCCATATCCAGACAAGACTCTCTACCAGCAGAAAGATTATGACTCACTGAAGTCTCAGATGATTCTTGGCAATTTTTAGCAACAAAGTATTTTAAAATCATGTACTTTTTTAAGCCATGATATTGCACACTTAATATAGTATAGTGTAAACATAACCTTTATATGCAATGAGAAACCAAAAAACAAATGTGTGACTTGTTTTATTGTGATATTTGCTTTACTGTAGCAGTCTGGAACCAAACCAGTGATCTCTCTGAGTTATGCCTATATTGAAGTCAGACAAAGCTAAATTAAAGAGAAAATTATTCCTGGCCGGGCACAGTGGCTCACACTTGTAATCTTAACCCTCTGGGAGCCTGAAGGAGGCAGACCACCAGAAGTCAGGAGTTCGAGAGCAGCCTGGCCAACACGGTGAAACCGTGTCTCTACTAAAAATACAAAAAAAAAAAAAAAAATAGCTGGCCATGGTAGTGGGCACCTGTTAATCCCAACTACTTGGGAGGTGAAGGCTGTGATGAACCAAGATTGTGACACTGCACTGCTGCCTGGGTGACAAGACCAAAGCTCTGTCTCAAAAAAAACAAAAACAAACAACAACAACAAAAACGATTCCCTAACTAGCTCTGGACTAATCCAATTTGTACACTATCTTTAAAAGTCCCTTAAGCACTATGTTAACAATAAGGAGTAACAAAAGTCATATTAAACTGAAACTACCCCAAATTTGTAAATCCATTTTGTAAAACCCTCCTTGTATTGTTGCATGTTTTATTGTTTACTTCTTGTATGACTGCTTATTGTTACATAGCTCTCTGCTGGGGTTTTGAATCTCTTAACACTTCTTTTAGAGATTCTTAGTTTCACAGCTTCTGAAATGACAACACAGCTAAAACAGAAGGAAATACAGTATCAAACCCCTGCTGGTGTGATTCTGTATAGCTTACCAAGAATGGAAACATGGTGTTTATACATTTGCATATCAACCCCAACCTGTGCAGGGACATCAATTGCTTTCTGTAGCTGCCTTTCCCTTTGTTTTCCTGAAAGTAAGGCATACCATTGGAGTAAGCCAATGAGCAAGTACCTTTTCCCTCCACACACACAGAGGAATTATGCTAACCATTTAACTTCAATCTGTCTAGGAAACAGGTAATTTTTTTTTATTAGAAGATTTGAGAGCAGGTGTAAAGTTTACTATTAATAAAACAAATGATAAATCAATGCAAGACTTTAATTAGAACTAATATATTTCTAATAAGTTTGACAAGTATAGAGTACGCTATCATCTCTCATTCTGAATAATACATTGATCATCGAATGAGACACTCACTGGAAGGCGGAATGCATTATCTCAGGTAACCTATTTGAAGGGTTTGAATGGTGACAATCGAATATAATCATTTCAGTGCCTTGCAACTGTCAATATCTGATCCAAAAATATGACATATGCCTGAAAAGATGCCTTGTAAACAGTGTCCAGGTAAAGCCTCAATACATTAGTAGCTTCTATCTACTGACATCTGAATCCAATAAAAAAGAAGCACTAATGAAGATAGTTTTAAAAATGGATTTGGCTGAGGGTGGTGGCTCATGCCTATAATCCCAGCACTTTGGGAGGCTGAGGCAGGTGGATCACCTGAGGTTAGGAGTTTGGGACCAGCCTGGCCAACATGGTGAAACCCTGTTCTCTACTAAAAATACAAAAATTAGCCGGGCATGGTGGTGTGAACCTGTAGTCCCACCTGCTCGGCAGGCTGAGACAGGAGAATTGCTTGAACCTGGGAGGTGGAGGCTGCAGTGAGCCAAGATCATGCCACTGCATGGGCAACAGGCTGGGCAACAGAATGAGACTCCCTCTCAAAAAAAAAAAAAAAAAAAAGAAAAGAAAACAAACAAACAAAAAAAACTGGATCTAGGATCTGGAATAATATGATCATAATGCGGAAAAAAGATTCAGTTTAGAGAGGACCATGCCCACAGCTACTACCGGCAAGGCCAGGACACTGACACATTGTCTTACATATTCAAGTCTGATCATGAATGCTCTGGGCATGCTGGAGTTGCGGCTGCAAGAACTGCAATTCTTTCTACACTGTGTGTGAGAAAGAAGTTCTGACTTTTGGTTGCAGCAATGATTAGCAGAACCAGCTTCTACTGAAAAAGATGCAGTTTATTTTTAATATGATACTGCCAAGATCTGAATTGCCTTATGGTCTGACATACCCATTGCTTTCAGGAACTGGGACTGAGCATCAAAACATATATTCACGTTTCTAAATATTTTAAGAATTGTCTGAAATGTTTTTGGACCCTTAAATTAATTAGTACAAGTCATCTAGAGCTGCTTCGCACAGAAGTGCTAAAGGAATACAGGATACGCTTCACAGAGATGTCCCATCTCCATCCCACCCCTACTCCTTGCTATAAATGTGTATTAAATATTTATATATTCTAGATGAAAGTTCTTTATACGTCGTGGGTAAAAGCTGTATATTCTCAATAAGCTTCTTATACTTTGTGGATAAAAGAAGAAAGAAATTCTTAGTTTGAAGAAATTCACCAACTAACTTTAAATTTCACCTAGAAATACAAAGGACCTAGAATAGCCAAAACAAGTTTGAAAAACAACACGGTCAGAAGATGCACGCAGCCTAATTTCAAGATTTTAAAACTACAGTCATTAAGATGGTGTGCTATGGTGTTAACACAGACAAAGAAACAGACTAGAGACTCCATATATACACCCATACTGTATTAGCCTGTTTTCACACCACTCTAATTACCCAGTCTGAGACTGGGTAATTTATGAAGAAAAGTGGTTTAATTGACTTACAGTTCCCTATGCCTAGGGATGCTTCAGGAAACCTACAATCGCAGCAGAAGGTGAAGAGGAAGCAAGGACCCTCTTCACATGGTGGCAGAGAAGACAGAAGGGGAAACTGACAGACAACTTGTAAACCATCAGATCTCACTATCACAGGAACAGCACGGGGAAAACCACCTCCATGATCCAATCACCTCCCGCCAGCTACCTCCCCCAACAAGTGCGGATTACAATTCAACACGAGATTTAGGTAGGGACACAGAATCAAACCATAACGCACACGCATGTAACAAACTGGAGGTTTTTTGACAACTATTCTAGGGAAATTCAATGGACAAATGAAAAACTTTTCAATAACTGGTGCTAGAAAAAAAATCCATATGCAAAAAAGTGAAACATGACATTTGACTCACGTATACCAAAAAATTAGCTCAAAAGTGAATCACAGGCCAGGTGCGGTTGCTCATGCCCGCACTCCCAACACTTTGGGGGGCTGAGGTGGGTAGATCAACTGAGGTCTGGAGGGTGAGACAAGCCTGGCCAACACGATGGAACCCTGTATCTACTAAAAATACAAAAATTAGCCAGGTACAGTGGTGGGTGCCTGTAAATTGCTTGAACCCAGGAGGTGGAGGCCAAGACCATGCCACTGCACTCGAGCCTGGGGGACACATCAAGACTCTGTCTCAAAAAAAAAAAAAAAAAAAAGGATCACAGAGACAAATATAAAAATAAAATTGTACAACTTTTAGAAGGTATAGAAGAAAATCTTACTGACTTTGGATTGGCAAATATGTTTTAACTAAGACCCAAAAAGAAAAAAATTGATTGGATGTCATCAAAATGTTAAAAGTTTGCTAAAATTTTGCTATTTAAAAAACACTGTTAAGGAAATGGAAAGGTAGCCTACAAATTAGGAGAAAATATTTACACAACATGTAACTATAAAGGTTTGTATACAAAATGTTTGCTCTTATTTATTTTTTTTTTTTAGAGACGGGGTCTTACTCTGTCACTCAGGCTGAGATGCAGTGACATGGTCATAGCTTACTGTATTCTCAAAGTCCTGGGCTCAAGCAATCCTCTCTCCTTCGTCACTGCTTATGGGAAAGCAAATGGATCTGCCACTTTGGAAAATAAATTATAAAGCAGTAAATATACTATATGGCCCAGCAATTCCACTGTTAAGTACTTACCCAAGAAAAATGAAAGTATATGTCCATACAAAGATTTGTGCTCAAGTTCAGAACTGCTTTATTTTTTATGTCAATGATTGTGAAAAACCAGAAAGAACTCAAATATCCATCAACTGGTGAAGGGATTAACTAATAAGTGAAATATTATTCAGGAACAAAGAAGAATGAACTGATAACAAACAATAAGATAGATGTTAAGAAACGCGTTATATTAAATGAGAGAAGCAGACAAAAAAGAACTATAAAGTTCCATGTATATGAATTCTAGAAAAGCTAGACTATAGAGATAAAAAGCAGATCATAGTTGCCACAGAGTCAAGAAGCAAGGTGACGGGAGCCACTGCCAGGAGGCTCACTGCAACTTTTAAGGGTAACGGGAAAATTCTGTATCATGATTGTGGCAGTCACAGAGCTGCATATGTCTTGTCAAAATTCACCAAATTATATGCTTAGAATTGAATTTTAGGTCAGGGGTAGTGGCTTTTATTTCCAATCCCAGTGACTTGGGAGGCCAAGGCAGGACGATCACTTAAGGCCAGGAGTTCAAGACCAGCTTGAGCAACATAGTGAGAGTCCCGTCTTTACAAAAAAAAAAAATTTTTTTAATTAGCCAGTGTGGTGGTGTGTACCTGTATTCCCAGCTACCTGGGAGGCAAGAGGATCCCCTGAGCCCAGGAGTTTGAGGCTGCAGTGAGCTATGATCACACCACTGCACTGTAGCCTGAGCAATGAGCAAGATCCTGTATCTAAAAGAAACAAAAAAGAATTTTACGTATGTAAACTATGCCTCAATAAAGCTGAAGAAAACGGGGAGGTGGCAATCAATCCCATGTACATCCTGCGCAGACATGCAGGTGCCTCCTGATTACCACAGTTCATATCCAGGAAGAGCTTCCCATGAGCTTTATTTTTAGACTGGTGAAATCAACAGTGCAGAATATCGGCCTCAATCCCCCCCCAAAAAAGTCACCTAGCAATACATTAAGCTAACAAATATTATTTTACAAATGCTCCTGTTTCTTGTTTTTTTATTTCCATAGGGTTTGGGGAAAAACAGGTGTTGTGTGGTTACATGAATAAGTTCTTTAGTGGTGATTTCTGAGATTCTGGTGTACCCATCACCCTTAACTGTAATCTAAATAACGTAAAATTCTTCCTTGAGTTTAGATGTTAGCGTCACATAATATATGTAATTTTGGACATAAGTATGGATTCTTCTGTAACAATAATTGTGGAGTTACTGGTCCCAGTTGACATTCTAACTTAGGAAAACTGCTTTAAGTTTTCTCTTGCTAGGCATCTTCAAAACAGTGAGCAGGGGCAATATCGAGAAATAAATTGCTCTGACACCTTACTTATATTTTAGAATAAGAAACAAATTGATCAACAAAATTTTGTCAAAAGGTTATAGACACAGACAAATAAAATGAAGAAACATCAAGTGAATGTTTGAAGCATGTAGCAATGACTTAAAGCAGACACATATTTTCTACTCATAGATTTTTAATCTATGATGGACCAAATAATTACAGATACAACAAAATAAAATGTGAGTATAGTCTTTCGGCTGACAAGTGTAAAATTCAGGATTCTAGATTTATAAACATGGACATTAGTCAGTTACAATTATACAGAAAATGACTGGCAGATGGAAAATACTATAACGGGATTTTTTTTTTTTGAGGTGGCATCTTATTCTTGTCACCCAGGCTGGAGTGCAATGCCACGATCTCAGCTTACTGCAGTCTCCACCTCCCAGGTTCAAGCAACTGTGCCTCAACCTCCTGAGTAGCTGGGATTACAGGCACCTGCCACCATTCCCAGTGGATATTTTTGCATTTTTAGTAGAGACGGGGTTTCACCACATTGCCCAGGCTGGTCTTGAACGCCTGACTTGAAGTGGTCTGCCTGCCTTGGCCTTCCGAAGTGCTGGGATTACAGGTGTGAGCTACCACGCCCACCCTGTATTTTAATAAGATACAAAATGATACGTACATATCTCCATGATTTTTTAATATAC